TACATGCCGCAAAAGGCTTCCAGTCATTTCAGACTACAGGGGCCAGAATCCTCTAATTCCTCCGTAAGAGGAAGTCAGGCTGTCACTAAAGCATCTTTAGAAAATTAGCTGATGTGGCTGGGTGCAAGTGGCTCACGCCTGTGATCCCAGCACTTTGGGAGGCCAAGGCGGGCAGATCGGAAAGTCAGGAGTTCAAGATCAGCCTAGTCAACATGGTGAAACCCTGTCTCTACTAAAGATACAAAAATCAGCCAGGCATGGTGGCGCATGCTTGTAATCCCAGCTGCTTGGGAGGCTAAGGCAGGACAATCACTTGAACCTGGGAGGCAGAGGTTGCAGTGAGCCGAGATTGCACCACTGCACTCCAACATGGTAACAGAGTGAGACTCCGTCTCACAAAAAAAAAAAAAAAGAAAGAAAGGGCCAGGTGTGGTGGCTCACGTCTGTAATCCAAGCACTTTGGAAGGCTGCGGTGGGTGGATCACGAGGTCAGGACCATCCTGGCCAACATGGTGAAACCCTGTCTCTACTAAAAATACAAAAATTAGCCAGGTGGGGGCACATGCCTGTAGTCCCAGCTACTCGGGAAGCTGAGGCAGGAAAATCACTTGAACCCAGGAGGCGGAGGCTGCAGTGAGCCGAGATCACACCATTGTACTCCAGTCTGGCAACAGAGCAAGATTCCATCTCAAAGAAAAAAAAAGAAAGCCGGGTACGATGGCTTACGCCTGTAATCTCAGCACTTTGGGAGGCCAAGGTGAGTGGATCACCTGAGGTCAGGAGTTCAAGATCAGCCTGGTCAACATAGTGAAACGCCATCTCTACTAAAAATACAAAAAATTAGTAGCCGGGCACGGTGGCTCAAGCCTGTAATCCCAGCACTTTGGGAGGCCGAGGCGGGTGGATCACGAGGTCAAGAGATCGAGACCATCCTGGTCAACACAGTGAAACCCCGTCTCTACTAAAACTACAAAAAATTAGCTGGGCATGGTGGCGCATGCCTGTAATCCCAGCTACTCGGGAGGCTGAGGCAGGAGAATTGCCTGAACCCAGGAGGCGAAGGTTGCGGTGAGCCGAGATCGCGCCATTGCACTCCAGCCTGGGTAACAAGAGCGAAACTCCGTCTTGGAAAAAAAAAAAACAAAAAACAAAAAATTAGCCAACTGTGGTGGCGGGCACCTGCAATTCCAGCTACTCAAAAGGCCAAGGCAAGAGAATCGCTTGAACCAAGGAGGTGGAGGTTGCAGAGAGCAGAGATTGTGCCATGGCACTCCAGAAAAACATATACTAACAAATTTAATTTTAACAAACTCACCACTATTTTTGAAAGCCCAAACTTAAGTCATGCCATTTCCAAAACTCTTATAAATGTGTTGCTAAGATAAACAGCTAACCCTGGAAGACTAACGCATCAGGAACTGTTTTTGAATTGCGGGTGTAAAGTGGGAAGTCGAGTCAGGGATGCACTCAGTGCCTGTCACAGCCTTCAGCCGCACTGAGGTGGAGAGGAGGCCAGGCTGCAGCAGTGGTCTGCGCAGGCTCTCAGGGCGGGAGCCGCACACCCACCTTGTGAGGGTGCTTCACATGGACGCAGAAACCCAGCTCTTTGAGAACTCGTCTTTCCGCCTTTATAATTTGGTTCTTTAAATTAACATAATCTTGATCCAGTAGTAGAGGCACAGGCTTCCTACAAAAGAGAGAGCACAGGGTCTGCATCAGGGTCAAGCAGAACAAGGCTTCCGACATGCCATCATGACCTCCAACTGTGAGCACCTAATGCAAACCCGACACACACATGGCTGCGATGGCCACGTCCTCTAACTAACAAGACCACACAACATTCCTCACAGCACAGCGCCAACCTACCTATCCCATGCCAACGATCCTCCCCACTGTTCCTTATAGATCAACAGCTTCTGGTGCGCAAGCACAGACCGAACACAGCAACGGTTTTAGGATCTCATGGCACCACTGCTTAAAAGCACTTTGTGTGGCTCAAGACGTAAGGATACATACTCATGGTTAAATAGCCCGTAAACCACTGAAAGACAGTATTTAAATACAGCTGGGCCAGGGCGGTGGCTCACTCCTGTCATCCCAGCACTTTGGGAGGCCGAGGCAGGCAGATTGCCTGAACTCAGAAGTTCGAGACCAGTCTGTCCAACACGGTGACATCCTGTCTCTACTAAAAAAAATACAAAAATCAGCCAGGCGTGGTGGCAGGTGCTTGTAATGCTACCTGCTTAGGAGGCTGAGACAGGAGAATCACTTGTTGAAGGGTGGGGGGTGGGGGGGTGGCAGAGGTTTCAGTGCACCAAGATTGCATTACTGCACTTCAGCCTGGGTGACAAGAGTGAGACTCTGTCTCAAAAACAAAAACACAGATGGCCAGGCGAGGTGGCATGGGCCTGTAGTCCCAACTATTTAGGAGGCTGAGGCAGGAGAACTGTTTGAACCCGGGAGGCAGAGGCTGCAGTGAGCCAAGATCACATCACTGCACTCCAGCTTGGGCCATATAGCAAGACTCCATCTCAAAAATTAAAGTCGTATTTTTTCTTTTTCGAGACGAAGTTTTGCTCTTCTCTGCCAGGATGGAGTGCAATGGCACGATCTCGGCTCACTGCAACCTCCCCGATGGGTTCAGCCAATTCTCCTGCCTCAGCCCCCCGAGTAGCTGAGATGACAGGTGCCTGCCACCATGCCCAGCTAATGTTTTCTTTTTTGTATTTTTGGTAGACACAGAGTTTCACCATGTTGGCAGGCTGGTCTTGAACTCCTGACCTCAGGTGATGCACCTTCCTTGGCCTCCCAAAATGCTGGGATTACAGGCATGAGCCACTGTGCCCGGCCAGAGGCCGTGTTTTCTAAAGAACTTCCATTAACTTCAGGAGCATAAACGCTGGGCTAAGGTCAGAGCCAGTGGTTCTCAACTGGAGCAATTTTGCTATTCTGGGGCCATGAGGCAACATCAAGAGACTTTTGGTTTTTTTTGGAGGCAGAGTCTCATTCTGTCATCCAGGCTGGAGTGCAGTGGTGACACTGCAGCCTCAATCACCTGGCCTTAAGCGAACCTCCCGCCTCAGCCTCCCTAGTGCTGGGATTACAGGTATGAGCCACCACACCTGGTATGTGAGGACTTCTGGCCATCACAACTAAGGTGGAGTACTCCTGGCATCCAGTGAGTAGAGGCCAGGGATGCTGCTGAATCCTGCAACAGACAGAACAACCCACCAGAACTAAAGATCACCCAGCCTGTAATCCCAGTGCCTTGGGAGACTAAGGCCAGCAGAACCCTGAAGCCCAAGAATTTGAGACCAACCTGGACAACATGGCAAGACCCCATCTCTACCAAATAAAAAATAAAAAAATTAGCAGGCATGTTAGCGTGCAGTCCGAGCTACTGAGGAGGCTAAGGCAGGAGAAACTCTTGAACCTAGGAGGTTTAGGCTGCAGTGAGCCATGATCATGCCATTGCATTCCACCCTAGGCAACAGGACACCCTGTCTCAGGGCAGGAGGGAAAGGATTATCCACCCTGAATGTCAACACTGCTGAGATTAAGAATTCCTGCTCTAGAACTTTCAGAAACTTATGGGAAACAAGCAGCAACAGGGCCGTGCGCCGACATGGGTAAAGCAGGAAGCCAGCACCAGGGCCACGGGCCACAGTGCCCCGTCCTCACTGGAGCCCCTGCCGTCACGCTCAACAGCACCTGCCGACGCCTCTGAGTAGGCCCTGTTCGAAGAACTTGAAAATGCGCTCAGGAACATCCCACAGGTTTAAGACCTCAGGCCTGCACTTTGTTACAGAAACGTTAGCGTAATGTAACCAGAAGACGACGCAGACTGCACTGACTGACTCACTTTTTCTCCCTCAGCTGGCGGAGGCGGTGAAACACGTTGATGACGTCGCGTATGCGTCTCGGAGCCTCTTCTATCTTGGAAGCCAGGTGAACACAGGCCATTGACACATGCTGAAGCGGAAGCATCGCAACACACCCATGTTTGTCCCCAGCCACCGCATCCTGACGGGCCAAAGGCTTGAGAGCTATTCAGACCAAAACGCACCCAGGGGAAAAGCAGCCGAGAAGCAGAACCTTCCGGCACAGAGCTCAGACCGGGGAGCAGGCAGTCTCTCCCCTGAGTAACCGGGCAAACAAAAACCGTTTCCCCTCGACATATTCCGCTGGGAATGAAGCGCAGGAGGGGGCCCTTACCTCCATGGAATGCTTCACGAAGGACTTGGTGTAGAAGAACCGCTGGAACAACACCTGCCCGGTAGCCATGGCCACCTAGAGTGAAGGAAAGTTTCTGTATTTTCAAACGCACCATCCAAAGCCTTCGCGGGCAAAAGTCATCGAGTAACGTGGGACTCCCCACTCAGAAGCCAATACTGAAACGTTTCCCAGGTCCACGAATGTTCTTTGTGTCCCGCCGTCTCGGGGGTCCAGCGCACGAGGGAAGGCCCGGGGGCGGGGGTGGGGACGGGCTTGGGATTGGCCCCAGGGCTGGGGTCGGGGAGGGTGCCGGGGTTGGGGCGGGGGCCGGGGGT